CAGCGGGCCCCTAAGTCTTAACTGGAGAGAGCCCGCTGAACCTCGACCTTCGGATCCAGACAATCTCGCACATTCCTTCTTCTTATGGTTCCCACGGAAAGAAGTTCCACTACGCTCAGGCAGGAACCATAAGTTTAAATACCAAGGGACTACAGTAAGGATCTTTTAAAATGTCTGAGTTGCGCTCGCTCAAAAAAAGAGCTGCATTCAGCGGTTTAAAACGAGCCCAGTATCAGAGAAACGTCAGGTTCCACTCGCTGTACCTGGCCCGGTTATGCGTGACATACAAAAAAGATGTCTCCACCTTCACTCACCTGATAAAGCTCAGAAGATTTTTTGATCAGAGGTTCAGTAAGGAGTACGACGAGTACGCACACATTCCCATCGTTCATGATAATTAGCCGTACTCAAGATACAGATGCTCCCCTTATTGTTGGATTAATCAACATCCTACATGCAGGCGCATACCAGAAAATCCCCACCTTTGTTGTCTTTGACACGTGTGTGCAAGAGCATATACAAATTTGTGTATATATATATATATAGACATAAATGCTCATCTGTTCTATTGCATCGCTCAGCCATCTTATTTTAGTTCCGATCTTCATGTTAATATTTTCCAACTTGTCACAGAAGGATGGGAGCCTCTCCAGACATAAGTATTAAGAGAATGTCTTACCAGATGTTTCTGGAAATGTTTATTCTGCCTTTTGCCTCTAAAACCGCGACAAGTTTAGATTTAGTTTACAGAAGCGCTGAATGATGTTTTGCGCTTTATCCCAATGATCGTTCTTATTAATATTTTCACCTTTTGTAACTTTCTCACTCAGTTAGTCATGGCTAAACATGGTGGATGGTATTGATGCTAAAAGGGCTGCTAGGTTTAAATGGGCCTGATAAAAGAGCCAGACTATTCAGTCGCTTTAAATACTTAAAATGTGAGATGGCATTCCTTCAGGAAATCCACCAACTGAATAAAAATTAAGACTTAAAAAAGGATGGGAGGGCAATATATTTCATTCCAATCTTAATTCTAAGACATGTGGGATGGAATAATAAAAAAAAAAAAATCAAGTTTACTGTGACCACTGTCATCTCAGATCCACATGGAGGTCTCATAATTGTTGACGG